ATTTATTTATTTGACAGAGAGAGTCACAGTGAGAGAGGGAACACAAGCAGGGGGAGTGGCAGAGGGAGAAGCAGGCTCCCCGCCGAGCAGGGAGCCCAATGCGGGGCTCGATCCCAGGACGCTGGGATCATGACCTGAGCTGAAGGCAGACGCTTAATGACTGAGCCACCCAGGCGCCCCTCAAATAATTATTTTCATGAAATGCTAAGAATATTTACTGTCTTCTACTTGTATAGTGTGTATATATATATATAGTATAGTGAAAGAGAATGAAGTAGCAGCTGCTGAAGTCTGGAAAGTTAAGTAAGCAAGCTAGTAGAGTGTAAGTCAACTAAGTCATAGTCTTAAAGCACATAGGCCTGCTTATTGCTGAAGAAAATATAAAAATTTCAGTTATATGTTAAGTTTATTTCTTTCTGTCCTTTCTTTTTTCCTTCCTTCCCTTCTTTCTTCTCTTTCTCTCTCTCTCTCTTCCTTTCTTTTCTTTCTCTTTCTTTCTTTCTTTCTAGATTTATTTATTCATTTGACAGAGAGACAGCACAAGCGGGGGGCAGTGGGAGAGAGAGAGAGAATCCCAAGCAGACTCTGTGCTGAGCATGGAGCCCCATGTGCGGCTTGATCTCATGACCCTGAGATCACGACCTGAGCTGAAACCAAGAGTCAGACGCTCAAGAGACTGCACCACAAGACACCCCATGCTAAGTTTTTCTCAAGTTTTTATGATTATTATATTTAACTAAAAGGATAATTTCCGATTTACATTTCTACAGTAATTATCACACATTTTTTCATGTCATGTTTATATTTTGTAATTAATAAGACAGTTTTTCAAACGAACATAATTGATTAACTTAGAAGGCTTACCCAATTCCCGAGCTGTGTGGAAACACATCTATTATACATATCAGATCTCCTGGCTTATGAATATTACACTATTACTTTAGGACTAGAAACCTCAAATGCCACTTCGGATGGCTAATATCAAACTAATCCTGAGATGTGAAAAGACTGTCCAAGGAAATACCCCATTTGAATTGTCTGTGTGTTACGTGTTTGTGTGTATGTTCATGGCAACTTCAACCACTACTTCTGTTTAACCATAAAATGGAACGACGAAAAAGTTTCAGATGAAAAACAAGTCTGCAATTCCTTATACAAATTTGTGAATTAAGAAACCTTTTATAAAAACACAAAGTTTTTTGGTAATCCATTTAGCAAGCAAACCAAATACACTGGCAAGATCTGAACTGAATTCCCATGAGGCTACAGTGTGACTATTCATATGCTTTGTTGCAAATATTAATGTGGTTGATTACTGAGTGCTAACCAGACTCTGCTAGTAGTTATTACAAAATATATGGTATATGCATACTGCTTTAAAAAAAAAAAATCCAAAAAAACTTGAAATTTCAAGCCCTTATATAAGTAGAAATAACAGAGTATAGTTCTAGGGCATCATTTCACTTATTCATTTTTCTAACATGTACTCAATGCATTCCACTTGCCAGCCACTCTTGGGCTGCAACAAAATTGCCTAAGGGGTTCAGGACTATATTCCCTACGCTGTACCTTTTATCCCCATGAGGGAATTTTTATGTTTATTTTTATTTATTTATTTATTTTTTAAAAGATTTTTTAAATTTATTTATTTGAGAGAGAGGATGAGAGGAGAGAGAGAGCACATGAGAGGGGGGAGGGTCAGAGGGAGAAGCAGACTCCCCGCCGAGCAGGGAGCCCGATGCGGGACTCGATCCTGGGACT